GATGGGGAGATTCCACTAAATTAAGAAGAGTACAAAAGAGTTACAACTCACAAAACTCACAAATAAACCCTAAACAAAAGCTCTCTTCTTGCTCACAATAACTCCCTCTCACAATGCTCAGTACAATATCAAATCTCTGTTAAAACTCTCCTCTCTTCACCCTAGAAATGAGTGTTTCTAATATATATTAAAACCCAATCAGAAACGGAGCAGGAAACAAAACAACCCAATATCCAAATCGCGGTCGACCACCAAAAGTCCAGAGACTTTTGTGTCTCTTGGGTTTGTGCGCGGTCGACCACCGAACCCATCGCGGTCGATCGCCATAAGTCCAATGGCATACTCCTGTTTCGTGCACATTTGCGGTCGACCGTCACGTCACTCGCGGTCGACTGTAAAACCCACATATTGTTCTCCTGCATTTTCTCCTGAACTTTGACCGTTTCTACAAGAGTATCCTTTTTAGAGCGTATATACCAAATCAACTTTGCAATTAAGGCTAAATTTCCATCCTTCAGCACTGTACACCCCAGTCCACCACAAGCTGTTGATTTACGAACATCCGTCCAATCCATGTGAGCCAATCTGTGCCTCTCCTCCCTACCTCCCCATAGAAATTTTCCACGCATAACATCAATGACTTTGAGAACAAAGCTATATATGGTAGCGTGAAACCACTCGTCCAAAAAACTTGAGCACCAAAAAGCACTGATCTCACTAAGATACGGAAACTCGTTGGAGACAATTAAAAATTTTGTTAATTACATTGTGACACTACTTTTCAAAAAACTTGGATCCGCCACTGCAGGGTAGTGGAGATTAGGATCCAAATTCGGGTTATAGTCAAATTGGGTTGGGTTAGCTATGCTAGTGAAGTTTCCCTTCGTGTTCGAATCTGTATGTTTTTGGTAAGTAAATAAAAATTCTCATTACCAAATAGCAATTTTTACAAATTAACTCTATGTACACTTAACAAGAGCCTCTAATCACATAGGTTCCCTGTACAAGTTATAATTCTCATAAAGATTTTTGCCTTCTAATAGCCTAATCGCCTAAACTCCGCGCACTTTTTAGGCCAAAAATATGAAGCAAATACCGCAGCTCTGAACAGAAAACAGAGCACTAGATACTTCCTGGTCTGTTGTGTATCCTTAAGTCTACCAATGGAGGCTATATATGGAACTGCACTAGAACTTAACTTCAACCAACATGTCTAGCATTCAAAACATTGTAAATTAATTAATACCTGCAGCAACAGGGGCCCTCTTCGCACTTCCCATTGTAGCACTCCCTGCAATTGGTGCCTCCATTGTAAAGCTGCATACCATGGATTTGGAGCTCAATCTTTTGAATTTAAAACCGTATTAATTACCTTCAAGCTGATCAGTTCAATCTTTATGTATTTCTACAATACACTACTAAGGGGAGAAGTACTCTAATCTCTCTTTCATAGTTTCCTTTTTACCGCTAAAAATTCATACGTTGCTGTCCTAACTATGCTATGGCAAGCATTCATGACGCGTATATGTATGGTGTTATATCTTGACTTTACGATGGGACGCTATCGTCTTTCTCGCTCTTTCTCATAATTATATTAACAGATTAATGCGGTGGAGTTCCATCTTCTTTTAGAATAAACTTAACGGGTCACTACATCATCTACTGGTGTAACATTGGTTATTCTTGTGGGTCAAACAAATCTCATGGCGTGGATAAGAAACTCTTTCGTTTTAATGAAAAAGACTCTCCTTTATTAGTATTCATTAACCATTTATGGTAACTATTATGAGTTTGGTGGTTCAATAATCTCCGCCTACAAAGGTGACAATCATGTCTTATCAGAATACGATGGCTACAATATTTGGGGAAAAATTTTCAAAATTCTTAATTATGATTTGTTTCTTTGAATTACTCGAGTATGTGTTATTTGTGGATATCACCAACGTTTTGAGTAGGAACAAAATAACTAACTCACGCTTAAAATATTGGTGAACTCTCAATTTGCTTCCTAACGTAGGGCTGTCCATCCCGGCCGGCCCGACCCGACCCGGACCTGAAAACCGGGCTCGGGCCGAGCAAAACCGGAGCTCGGGCCCGGGCCTAAGCAG